CTCAGATTCCTATCCCAGGCCCAACTCAACTCCCAACATGGCTCTGGGGTCTCCTTGGTCCATGCTTGGTGCGCCTCCATGCATGTGTACACACCTGGGCCCAACGTGTGGCTGTCATGGGCATGCAGAGATGGAGTTGAAATGGGGGCTGGGACTGCCAGCCAAGCAGCTTCCTGAGTGTCTGGGTCAGGAGGGTCCCAGAAAGTCTCTTCTTATTTTTTTCTACTTTCATTTTTGCTACTCACTAAGACTTGCCACCCCGGAGCCCTCTCTGATACCCAGGCTAAGCCCGTTATTAACCAAGCTATGGACCTAGTTCCATCTCTCTGTGAGGAATATGGCTGCCCTGCATGAGCAGGTAGACCAGCCTCTCCGCCTTTTCGGACCAGGCATCTTGATTGTTACTCATCTTGGGAGTTGTCCGGAGGAGGTGAGTGTGAGACTTCCGTGATGACCTTTTCAGGTTTTACCATGACTCATTGCCATGTTGCCTTGCTGTGGACTAGTTAGGTTAGGCCTCTCTTTTGTGGTTATTATGTGCTGCAGGATTGGTCTTAAAAAACTGCTCCCATCTCTATGTAAAGCCCATGAAGGTCGAAGCTTACAAACGGACTGTGTTGAGTTTCTCTTCATTCCTTCTGCATTCTTTTTCCATCAGGAGGTGGGGATGGATGGACAGCCTCTGGGGTGAGCCGGTGTGCAGCCTCTTCCCAAGATCCTGGGCCCCTTCTTAAGTCTACGAAGACGTCTGATCTCAGATTCCCTTCCTTTCCACCAATATGGCTATCTTCCTAGGGATGTCATCATCCTGGGTCATGACAGTTGTATGGTCGAGGGATCGATCCTTCTATCTCGCTCTTGCTTAAGTAGGCACCACGAGGCCAGGTGGGCACACCCAGGCTCTATTGGCAGCTAAGATGGGGCCACCGCAGCAGGGCCCTGGACTGCGTTTAACACCAGGTAAAGGTGGCTTGAGGAAGAAGCCTGGATCTATCTGGCATGGCTGGGGCCACTAGCAGGGCCAGAGCAGTGGGGGCTGCGGAGCTGTCCCGGAATCCCTGGCTCACCCACCAGGTACATAGATGTGCTATGCCCTCCTCTGGGGCCACTCATGAACCTCTGCCAACACACCCTCCTCAGTGGCCTCCTTCCTCCTTCCTCATAGCTCAGTCAACTGGGCCGTGGGGTTCACAGCAGTGTCTCCAGTGTGTCCTGTTAGCACTTGTACGGATGCCTTCACTTTGGTCAATATTGATCTGGCTCTTTCAAGCACTTCATTTTTCTCCTGCCTCTCCCAAGGCCTCCTACAAAGGACCCCGCAGTGGAGAGGGTGGGATGATGCTGTCGGCATGGTTCTCCCTGAGAGGGCTCAGGGCATTGCTGAGGGTGGCGGAAATGCTGACCCACGTGCAATAAGCGGTGACTGGAAGGTCCAAGGAAGGTGCTGCCATTGATCCAAGTTCAGCTGATGTCAACAGGACCTTGCCCTTCTCGGCTATCTCTCTGCTCCCTGTTTTCGATTTGTCCCTTCTGGAGCGACAAGTCAACAGCCAGCGATGGCAAACAGGAGGCAGTGATGTGGGCTCGGGGAAACAAGACCTCCTCCTGTCTGCAAGGCCCTCCTTGGAGATATCAGTGGGCTTCCACTGCTCCGAAGGGCTGTGTACTATTTCTGCATGGGCTAGGATGAAGTCCTACTGAGTTCATGGACTAAAGGTAGAGGTCACAGTGACCCCTTAACTGGGTCTGCATCAGGGCCAAGGTTGTCTCATGCCCAGTACCCTCATGGGGCAGGAAGGTCCCCCATGAACTAGTGCTCTCTGCTGCCTCCACACACTAGGACCCAGAGCCATGTGAGTTGGTGGGTTAGGGAACTGGGGAAATCCCATCCCAAACTCTACCCAGTGTTCTGCTCACATCCAAGATGGAGTCACTGCTGTCCCAAAGTGAGATTGATACAACAGCTTAAAATGTAATAGTTCAGCAGCAGCGCTTTGGTTACTCTCATCTCTTACTGGACATGGAAGGGGTGGAATGTGCACGTTCCAGTTCCCTCAGCCCCAAAGCTGCTCCATCCTTCTTCTCAGGGCAGGAAGTGCCCAGGTGTGCTACTGCACACGAGGCTCTCAGGAGGCTTCCAACAGTGCCTCAGCAGCCAGACGGGACCCCAAGAGGCACACCTGCCTAGCCACCTGACCCCTTGTTTGTGGAGGATTGGCCAAAGTTTTTAAGGATACTGTCCCAGACAGTTTTCTCCCTCTGCAGTCTCTCTGAGTATTCCCCTGCCCTCATTTCGTCCTCCATTTCTATGTCTTCCTGACTCCTGTCTGGCTTTTGGCAAACTCATGCAGCTCTAACTGAAAAGTAGAGTGTCCTGCATCCTTCTGCACCTGTGCCTCTGATGGCATTCTGCACCCCTCTGCACCCATGACTGATGGCATTCTGCACCCCTCTGCACCCGTGACCGATGGCATTCTGCACCCCTCTGCACCCATGACCGATGGCATTCTGC